GTCAGTAATAAATACCCTAACACAATGTCTTTAAGGCAAAACAACTCCATTTGTAGAAGGCAGTGCAAGGGTGGGTTTCAGGAAGAAGGAGTGCGCCTGTGGGAGATGTTTTAGGTTATGGCACAGGCTCCTCACTCATTTCTTAGCCAATGTTAAGTGGAATATTGGGCAGCCTTGGTAGTTTGGATGTAAAGTGTTTGGCATCACTCCACCCATTTACCTCCATCAGTATTGGAATTTTGTTTTTTTTTAATAAATGATGGTAACTCTAATATTTTTGTATATTTTCTCAACTGGTCTCTTGGTCTGCATCCTTTGAGAATAGCTACAGATTCTTTCCCCTCCTAATAGGCTTCTGGCACTAAATATGGTCAACCAGAGCCAAAGTGCTTTGGTGGCTGAATTCCAAGAGGTAGAATGAGCTTAACTTACAGGTATGTACAGAGTCTAGACTGTGTGGTTTTTTGACAAAACTCGTCTATTTGATTCTTGGCTCAGTAGGGATAGAAGGTCACATATGGCTTGACCACTGTATTGGGAAGATCACTTTATGCATGCTTACATTTTACTTAGACAGGCTTTAACGATGGGTCTATAAACTCAAGAGACCAGGCTTGAAACTGAAAGTGGACCACATATAAATTAATAGGGAGACAGCGAGATTAAGAATAGTAAGCCCTCTTCAAGTGTATTTAAATAATGATTTTTAGAATGCTAAACACCTCTAGGGGATGGAGGCAGCTGTTTTGCAAGCCCTACTTTAAGGAATGGTAGGTGCTAGAGAAATAATGAGCCTTAAGAATAGTTCCTGAGGAGTCAGAGTGCTCCTGGAAAATGGCAGGTAGCTATTAGGATAGGTCGAGATCACCTCCCGTTTCATCTCTGTCTATCCCCTTTGTGCTTCCCGTGGAACATCTCTGGTCTTCCCACCTCAGTGACTCTCAGATGTGCCAGGACTTCTGCTGTGGCTGTAAGTAGTAGGTGCTCAGGAGAACAAGAGCTCATTACACTGGAATGAAATAGACATGGGCCATGCTCATAACATCTTTGGAAAAATACAGTGTACATTTTTAGTCAATTTTTCACTCCAGCAAACTGTGGAGACTAATGGATAACATCAAGTTTTAACTTATTTCTGGTTGAAAAGGATGCCAATATTTCAATTTTGTTTGATGTGCTTGGAATTGAACCTTCTACCTTTTTTCGGCACCTGTCACAGTCCCCTCCTAGGGCAGGGCAGCATAGCCACATGGGACCAGAGCTGTACTGTAAAGCACACTGCAGATTAAAGGCAGGTCTCACTGGTTACTAATGGTGTGTTACTCAATAAGTTTCTTCCCCTTTGCTTTCACATCTTTAACATGGGGTTAATAGTTGGAGTTGGTATGAGATTTTAAAACAATAACAAATACTTAGCACAGTGCCTAGCATATAGTAAGTGCTCAATAAATGGTGATAACCATTCTACATTTACCATCACAAATTATGTCCATATCTGTCTCTTCCAGATAAATGGCAATGAACATTTTGAGAGTAGGTCAAGTATCTTATTCCTATGCTAGACACGGCTAGACATGTTTGTCGTGTTTGTCAAATTGACCCTTCCTCGAGAAAATTTGACTCCTAAGAACTGCCTAATTTCATTTCCTTGCTCTCCTGCTCAGCCTTGTTTTCTGTTTTCACTCTATTCAGGAGAATAGATACCTTCAGAAAGCGTAATTAAGTAAAGTGGATAATTATCAAACACTTGGTAGCAAGATATGATTATTTAAATAAATTAGGATCTCCCACCAAAAATCCAGTTTATTGGAGAATGAATGAATGGTTGAATGGTTAGGAATCTTTTTGTGAAGACCACTAAGTAGATCATTGGAAAGGTGACACAAGGTTCCCTATGGACCATGTGCAGAGAAGTGAACAGACATGGATATGAATTTTCAGCTCTGATGCTAACCAACAGCTCAGTTTTTTCATCTGTAAAATGGTGATAATACTGCTGTATTTGAGCTGATTAAATTAAACAAATTTTATAAGCCACTCTGCCTGGAACTTATTAATTACTCAAATATCTGCCACTATTATTGTTGTCATTATCACTGGTCTTATTATTAACATGTCAGGTGACAGACAATCTTGTACAAATAGCCCACTTTTCTGTGTGTGTGTGTGTGTGTGTGTGTGTGTGTACACATGAATATACACTCTGACCATATTCACGTTCTTCATCCAAAGTAGAAATATTTTATTGTATATTGTAACAAACATGAGAAATTTTATTTTATTTTTGTTTGTGTGTGTTTAATGTAAGGTCCATTTTTTAAATTCAGAAATAAAAAATTAAGTCATTGAAAGATACTCAAACTTTCTTGTTTTATTAATAAAGTCTAGTTTATTTTATAAATTGAAATTTACTAATACCCATTATAAACACTTTCTAAAATAAAAGAATTATTTTATCAGACCAGTTGCTTAACTGTAAATCTCTGCAGTTTGAATTAACTTCAAGTGGTGCAGTTAAGATTTCCACTGAAATTAAAACTCAAGTGAAACATGATTTTGCATAAAAATGATTATTTAAAATAGAGAAAAAAGAAAAAGAAGAAGAGGAGAAGGAGGAGTAGAACCCAGGAGTTGAACAAGATAAGATTCTCAGTTATGATAACTTTTGCAGGTTCTGACTTTGCTAACCTAAAATTTGCCAGTTGGTGAAACAAAAACAATATAAGAACAACAAAATAAACGTGGGCAATTTATCCTCATCTGACTAAGCTGAATTTTTAAACAAAGCTAGAGAGTAAAGGAACTCATTCATTTAGTAAAGTGTGGAAATTTCAACTGTATTTGCATAGCCAGTTAAAAATTGTTGACCGTTCTGAACATACATTGTGTTCTGGCCACTTCAGCCAGGACCGTATATAGAGCCAAGGACTGCCAGTGTGGGGGTGGTGATCCCCACGGCAGATTGTGTTTCCCTCAGTTCCTTTCACTCAAATATAAGCTACTGGAGGTTTGACAGCTGCAAGAGCTGTGATATAGTTGCATAAATGTCTACTGTGAGCTGGAC